GGTTGCTCAAATTTTTTTTTGAAAGCCAACCGAATCAGATTATATTAGCCATACTAGGCAAAAGAAAGGGAGGAGGATCATCCCTCCAAACAGAACGCGCCAAAGTTGCGCTTACATGCTTAGCTAGAGCATGAGCTGCCCGATTTGCATCCCTGCTAACATGTTTCACCACAGGGTTCGTCATGAAAGTAAGTAAACGATTACAAGATAGCAATACAAAACCAAGATAAGAACGAAAAGAACTAGCTTGTCTTAAATTTGAAACTAAAACCAAACTATCTGAGCATAAAGTGACTGCAGTATAACCATTGTCTTTCAACCATGATAAAGCTTCACACATTGCCAATGCCTCTGCCAAGACAGGATCATACGCACAAGATAACGGGTCATTCGCCGCTGTCATAAAAGATCCATCCGCATCATATATAATGAATCCATACGAGGGTGCATGCTGTGGACCATGAAAACCTGCATCTACAAAACAGATTACACCAGATGATGAATAGGGATCCGGTTCCGGTTGCATGTACTGGCTGTACTGGCGGGTTTCGGACATGATGGTGACAATTTACCTTCCACGCCTCCCACCTAACTGCACTACCACATAAAAGTGTTCTCGGGTATGGCAAAAAACCCTCCCATACTGCTGCATTCCTGGTAGTCCATATGTCATATAGTAAACCACAAATCCTCCCTTTGGTGTCTGGAGTGTTTGCCGGTTCAGCAAGCCATCCTTCCACCCATTGATTAAAACTCCTGCCGTTAAAAGATAGAACAGGCAATTGAGACAATGACCAAACATGTGATGCAAAAAAATAGGAACATAAAGCATGCATAACATTTTCCCCTTCCAATCCACACGATGGGCATACATTAATAATATCCACCATGCGCACAATCAAATTATCCAACGTAGGCAGAATATTCAATAAGGCTCTCCACAGGAAGATTTTCCACTTAGGCGGTACCTGTAACCTCCATAGCAAACCCCAAACCTCCGTGGTTGGGGTATCTTGTTCAACCAGCCTTCTATACCCATCTTTCACTGAATAGCAACCCCTTAAATCCCGTTCCCAAAACCACATGTCCTCAAAGTCCGCATTAATTGGCAGCCGTTTAATCAACTCCACATCACGAGACGCAAAAAGCTGATTTATTAAACCCTCATTCCACATGTTAGCATCATTATCAATCAAATCTGCAACCAGCAAGTCATGATTGACACTCTGGTGGGTCAAACCCACATAGAGGTCATGCGCATCAGGTAGCCAAGGATGTGACCAGGCTTTAGTAGTCCTTCCATCCCCAATCCTCCGCCTGCACCCAGACCTTACCAACTCCTGACTAGCCATTATACTTCTCCAAACATAGCTCGGATTACCACCCAAAACAGCTTCATAAAAAGAAGTAGTAGGATAATACCTGGCCTTAAAAACCTGCGCTAACAAAGAATTAGGATTCGTTAACAGTCGCCACCCTTGCTTAGCCAGCAAAGCCACATTAAATTCATGCAAGCGTTTAAAGCCTAATCCACCATACTTCTTCGGGGCACACATTCTGTCCCAGGCTAACCAATGGATACTCCTTTCAGCTCCTTTCGTACCCCACCAGTACCTGTTCATCAACCTTTCAAGAGCAGCACAAAGAGTTTTAGGAAGTAAATATATGCTCATTGTATATGTGGGCATAGCCTGCGCAACACTTTTCAGCAGTACCTCCTTACCGGCTTTAGATAAAAGCATTTTGTTCCAAGAACCAAATCTCTGTTTCAACTTCTGCTCAACATAAGCAAAAACAGCCTTTCTATTTCTGCCTACCACTGAAGGTAGACCAAGATACTTACCAAAATCATCAGCCTGGGCAACCCCCAAAGTTCCAGCAACAAGATCCCTATCACCAACATATGTATTACGACTAAACGTAATGCTAGACTTGTGAAAATTGACTGCCTGCCCCGAAAATGTCTCATACACACTTAAGCACTTCTTAACCTCCAATGTCTCCTGCAAATTAGCTTTAAAGAAAAGCAAACTGTCATCTGCAAAAAAAACAGGTGAGAGATAGGAGGTGCTCCCCGAGCCACCCTGCAACCATGAATAAGCCCTTTAGACTGAGAATCCTGCAACAACAATGACAGACCCTCAGCACATAAGATGAATAAATAGGGCGATAAGAGATCACCCTGTCTTAACCCCGGGTTGCTCAAATAATCCAAAGAAAAGAATAAAATACTAGTTATAGACTACAAATTAACAGATATGAAAAATATTATAAAATTATTCTACTTTAGTAAAATTTTGTTCATGTGCGATAAGCTTGATCAAAAGGGTGCTGACAAAAATTAAACATGTGATCTTTAACTCTTTAAGTATAAAAGTTATGTTTTACTCACTTGACTACTCCTCTCAAAGTAAAATGTGCCGATTTTTAATTCTAATGTTGGGTCACTATTTGAGGTTCGCACAAATAATATTTTTATAGAGACGGAAATCAATTTGACTCATCCAAATAGAAAGTAAATTCTAATGAAAATTATATTACAAAATAGTCACTTTAAATGTTATTTTAAATCAATTTTTAAACAATATTCACATAAATAAAAATTGATTTATTTTCATGACTAAAAAAATGACACAATAGTGTTCAACATACGATCCTTGCATATTTACTTCATTGACTAATCAGGAAAATGTTGTGTTCGAACCCAACTGTCTCTTGCGTAAATGATGATATATCTTTCACAAAAATTTGTAAACATTTGTTCAATTCTCATGGGTTTGTCGTTTTATGAGAGTATCTAAAGAATTAAGCATGCCCAATTCTCTTTTGAAGCAACTCTACTCCCCTCTCACATAGATGATTTGAGAGTCCCTGTGATTATTATATTTAGAAATAAGGGTCAAATAAGTCATCGAATTGCACACAATAATGTAATTAAGCCACTGAACTTAAAAAAACAACAATTGTATCGTTAAACTAACAAATTTCATACAATTAGTCTAATTTACAGATTAGTAACAGGTCATCGCAAATTTAAAATATTTTTTAAAAATTATTATTTAAAAATAATTATTTTAAATTTTTTTTTTTTAAAAAAAACACGTCTTTGGCCATGGAGACGAAGAAACTCTGGCCAGAGACGAAGAAAGTTTCTTCGTCTCCGGCGGAGACGTGTTTTTAAAAAAATAATAATAATTTTTTAAAAAATATTTTAAATTTGGGGTGACCTGCTACTAACTTGTAAAACTTGTAAATTGGACTAATTGAATGGAATTGGTTAGTTTAGGGACCCAATTGTTGTTTTTTTAAAGTTCAGTGGTCTAATTGTAATATTGTGTGCAATTCAATGGTTTATTTGACCTTTATTCCTTATATTTATATGATTTTATATGAAAATAAAAATGATATAGGGACCAGTATGGTGTAAAATTCATGTCATGTGTCATGATTTTAGTGATAGAAGATGAAGTAATAAAAATAGGAAAAATACTATGAAGACTTTCATTATTTACTCTTAACTTCTATTGATACTAATATTTTATCCGCGCGATGCATGGTATGAAAAATATAAATACAAATGTTATAGTCTCATATCAACCGTTAGTAGTTAATTTATAACATTTTTCTAAATGACTACAAATTAAAATTTTTAAACTATTTGAATTGCTAACTCTTGAAGAAGCAATATACAAATGAGTATACATTTCCCAAACCTTGCTCCCCATGAGAGTGGAGCAGCTACATGCAAAATATACATGTTTTAAAAACATTTTATTGATGTCTGGAAATATAAATATAGAATAGGTAGACGATGATAAAAATAGTTTGATGCTTTATTTTTTTTTTTTTCTTTTTTGAAATCTAAGTATGTAAGATAACATATTCTAGAAGTTAGGTGAATTTTTTTTTAGCCTATTCTTTCTGTGGCTTATAAGCATTTCTAAGTGTTCATTTTACAAACTTTTTTCCCATCAGAGTGGAGCAGTTTAGTGCTCAATATACATGTTTTTTAAACATTTTGCTCAAAGAAGCTCAAATTATTGGTTTTATTCCCATTCCAGTTCAACACAGAAAGACTACGGCTATGTTTGGCAAACCTATCTGAAAAGGTAGATGAAAGCTTAAAAGAAGTTGAAAGTTGAAAAGTTATAAGCTATGAGCTTTGGCGTTTTGACTAAGGTCAAAACGCCAAAATGGTGGATCCGCCAAAATTTTGGCAGATCCTCCATTTACCAAACATGGCCGAAAACTGAAGAGCGGTTAAGTTAGTTGTTATGCTTGAAAGTGTTTGGTAAAATTAGCTTTTTTGATAAGTTGATAAATGTAAAAAAAAAAAAAAAAAAAACAAAAAATGACATCTTCACAAAATTTAAATTAGTTTGTTTACATATTAAAATTTAACATTGTCTTCAAAAAAATTTAACATTTTGAAATAAAATTATTAGCATAATCATGATCTAGCATCACATAATGAAGTAGCAATATTGTTGCGAATCTCCTTCATCTAATAATAATAATAATTATTATTATTATTATTATGATGGTGAAAGTTGCGGATAAAAGAGAAGAAAAAATTTTAATTGAGAAGGATAAATGATGTCATTTCTTTAAAATAATAAAGACAAAGATGAAAAATAAGTTAAGAAGCTACTAGCTTATTTTGAACTGATACTTATTTCAAAATAATCTCTTATTTTGAGTGACGAGCTTATTTTAAAAACATTACCAAACAGAATTTATTAGTAACTTAAAATAAGCTATAAGCTCCTAAATAAGCTCTACCCAAAGATAGCCATACATCTTCCTTAGAAAGACAATACAATATCTGAAACTCATGGTGCAGCTGCTGGGTTTTTATTTTGCCAGCTTTAACTTGCCTTTTTGAGGAAGCTCTTTCTTTTCGTTTAATACAGCAAGATCCAATGCATAATAAGGACCTTATTTCTTTTTTGAAAGAGCTATTTGGTGTTAAACCCATAATAATAGAAAAGGAATATCATTGATTCTACGACTTCATTGCTAGAAAGAAATTCATACTCTGATTCGGTAAGTTTTCTATATTAATCAATTGTTATGCATGCTTTTAAATAAATTATCTAATATTTTGCTTTGAAATATAGCATGTTTATGGGGAGTATATTACAAAATCTGAGGGTTTGACTGGTGGAGTTGACGAATTTGCCTCCGGCGAGCAGTCGAACACTGCATTCATTCATTCAGCTAATGCCAATGAAGGAAATCGCTCTCTGAAACTTCCAATGAGCCAACCACTTCTCCAAGAGTCTCTCGAGCCGCCTCGACCATTACCTTGCATACGCTTCTCAAAACCCCACAACCCTCTAATCGATCACAGCTTCGAGCAGAACTACAGAACCACGTGCACTCTCCTCCTCTCCCAAACCCGCTCGAGGTTCCTCCCGAAAGGCCTGGCCTTGCATGCCCACATCATCAAGTCCGGAATCAGTGCAGTTCCGCTCGTCTGCCACCACCTCATTAACTTCTACTCCAAGCTCCAGTGCCCAGTTGAGTCTACGATCGTCTTTGGCGAAGCGCCGGTGAAGTCACCCACCACATGGAGCTCCGTTATCTCTTCGCTGGCCCAGAACGAGTCCCCGTGCTTAGCTCTTCAGTATTTTCGCGAAATGATACGTTCTGGTGTCAGACCCGACGATCATACTTTCCCGTGTGCTACGAAATCTTCCGCCATGCTTTCGGATTATCATATCGGGGGAATGGTACATTGCTTTTCTGTGAAGACAGGGTTTGATTCGGACGTGTTTGTTGGGAGTTCTCTGGTGGATATGTACGCTAAGTGCGGGAAGATAGATATAGCTCGGAAGGTGTTCGATGAAATGCCTGAGAGGAATGTGGTTTCTTGGAGTGGGATGATATGTGGGTATGCTCTGATAGGCGAGGATGATGAGGCTTTAAGGCTTTTCAAGGAAGCGTTAGTGGAAGATTTGGATGTCAATGATTTCACATATTCAAGTGTGATTCGAGTATGTGGTAATTCCACTCTGCTTGAGTTAGGGAAGCAGATACATGGGTTGTGCTTGAAAACAAGCTATGATTCATCGAGTTTTGTGGGAAGCTCGTTAATATCTTTGTACTCTAAGTGTGGACTTGTAGAAGGTGCTTATCAAGTTTTTGATGAGGTGCCGGTCAAGAATTTGGGTATGTGGAATGCAATGTCTATAGCCTGTGCTCAACACGGGCACACCAAGAAGGTTTTTGACTTGTTCACACAGATTGAAAGAGCTGGGCTGAAGCCAAATTTTATTACATTTTTGTGTGTGCTCTATGCTTGTAGCCATGCAGGGCTGGTTCAAGAAGGGAAACACTATTTTGGGTTGATGAAAGATTATGGGATTGAGCCAGGCGATCAGCATTTTGCTTCGTTCGTTGACTGCCTTGGCCGAGCTGGAAAATTACAAGAGGCTTTAAAAGTTGTTGAAGAAATGCCCATGCAACCTACAGAATCTGTTTGGGGAGCATTATTGACTGGCTGTCGCATTCATCGCAACACTGAATTGGCAGCTTATGTGGCTGATAGGGTTTTTGAGTTAGGTCCCGTGAGTCCAGGCCTACATGTGCTATTATCCAATACTTATGCGGCTGCTGGTAGATATGAAGATGCAGCGAAAGCTAGGAAGATGCTGAGGGAACAAGGGGTGAGAAAGGAAACAGGTTTGAGTTGGGTTGAAGAGGGGAACAGGGTGCACACATTTGCTACTGGTGATAGGCGCCATGCGAAATATAAGGAGATTTACCAAAAGTTGGAAGAATTAGGGGATGAAATGGAGAGAGCTGGTTATGTTGCAGATACAAATTTTGTGTTGCAACAAGTGGGTGACCAAGAGAGGAGCGAGGCGATCAGGTATCACAGTGAAAGAATAGCCATTGCTTTTGCACTCATCACATTTCCACCTGAAAGGCCAATTAGAGTTATGAAAAACTTGCGTGTTTGTGGCGATTGTCACAATGCTATGAAGTTTATGTCCAAGTGCACAGGAAGAATAATCATTGTGAGAGATAATAATCGATTTCATCGATTTGAGAATGGCAAATGCACGTGTGGCGACTATTGGTGACTGAAGAATTTGTACATATTAAGGAGCTTTGATTCATGTGATTTTGTTTCACTGCTATTGATGAGGCTGGAAAATTCCTGGGTTTTGAGATGACATGGATATTGGCATGAAGGTGATATGGATTGTCAGCTCCTCTAGTGTCAAAATTCTGCTATGTCAGATCTTTTCCTACAACTGAATCTGCTATAAGTACCCAATTTGGTGTGGATCAGTGGATGACTATTAATGCTAGAACATTGGATTTTCCTTTCCTCTATTGGTTCTGAAATTAAAGCAATAGGTTTTTAGAAGTCTGTACAAAGTTGAAGGTTTTGGGTTTCTCTTTTCCCTTGGCTACATCCATTTATCATAGAAGTCTGTGTAAAGAACCTAGCCAGAGGTAGAATTTTTCATAGAATTGAGTTCCTACTGCTGGCTATGTGTTTGGCTACTTTCCGTTGCACATTCTCTGTTTCTTTGAAGCTTAATTGGTCTATCTTGGAGGAATTAAAAGAAATGGAATCTGAGACACTAGCTGTTCATTATCAACCAAATAAACTTCAAAGACTTCTTTCCACTATTGCGCCTGTGCTATTGATTGCAGTAGGATATGTGGACCCCGGCAAATGGGCTGTATTCGTTGAAGGAGGTGCCCGTTGTGGGGTTGATTTGATGATTGTGTTACTTCTGTTTAATTTAGGAGCAATTTTGTGTCAGTACTTGTCAGCTCGTATTGCAGTGGTTACAGGTAGAGATCTTGCCCAGGTATGGATCTCAATTTGCTATTTTCTTCTTGTCGTTGACATTATCATTGAGCAACCTTATAAGCTTAACAATTTGATGTTAGATTGTTTGAACAATTTTCTTGGCCTTGCAATATAGCATCTGAAATCCCTCCATTCTAAGGACATATTTAATTCTATGCCATCTCATTCATTGCAATTATTGAACACATTCAAAGGGAATTCTAGGTTATATTTGTAAAACCATGGTGCCTAATAGGATCATAATTCATTTTGGTTGGAGATTTCTTTCTTCTCTCCTCTTTCAATGACTGTTGCCATGCTAAATTGACAGATCCACCCTATTTTTTTAATTCAATCCTCACTGCCAGGCAATGAACAAAATATTCCTTATTCTTCCGCTTCTCTTTTTTCTTTGAAGTTTTTCTGTTACTGGTGAACCAAGCAATAACTCCTTTGAACTTGGTGATATCAAAGATATGCAGACATGCAGTGAGGAGTATGACAAAGTTACATGCATATTTCTTGGAGTTCAAGCTGAGATTTCAGTTATTGCATTGCACTGTTCATTTATGTAGTTTTTTTTTTTTTTCTCTTTAGCTACTTTTGGCTAATCCTGTGCTTAAAATTTGCAATCTGATAGGTTTTGGGCACTGCATATGGGCTAAAGGCTGTGTTTGGATTTGACTTACTTAGTTGCATCTTTCTGACAGCAACTAATGCTGTTTTGTTACCACTCATTTCTTCTCTCGTAGTAAGCCGCTTATCTTAAAATAGTCTCATAATTAACATATGTTTTAAAGTGATGAGCCTCTCATAGCCTTTAAATACAGAAGCTCTTGTAATGTTTCATTTAAGTTATTAAGCAATCCATCTATTATCATATTGTATAACTCATTGTCTTATTATTTTTATTTTTATTATTATCTGTTCTTCACTTGTAGCTTTTGTCTTTACTGACAAGTGATGGCTCTTAGCCATCCTCCAAACTAACTATTTTTTCTTTTTCTTAACGGGACTGATAAAGCTAATTTCATATTATTTTTATTTTAGGATAATGGCAGTGCAAGATTCCTAAGCGTTTGCTGGGCAAGCTTCATACTACTTTCTTTTGTTATTCGAATGATAATAAGTCAAACTGAAAATCCATTATCCTGGGTGCCAGAAGAGGTGACAAAAGAGGTGTCTGCAAATAGTCAGTTTTCGAGTTTTGAGGGTCCTGGATCATTTAAGAGTATCAGTGGAGGGTCCTGGATCATTTAAGAGTATCAGTGGAAAAAAACGATGATATAGGGAATGGCACTGGAAGTTTATCCAGATCAGGACTTGGTCGTGCAGCAAGGCGGCACTTAACTGTAGTTCTTGATGAGTTTTGGGGACAGTTGTTTGATTCTCACGGGCAGGCCACTCAAGAAGCAAAGTCAAAGAAACTAGATATATTGCTTGGCGTGGAGTCAAAGATGGATCCTAAACCTCCTTCTGGATCCCTGAAATTAGAAAGCATTCGGAAGGAGTCTAATGCATATTTATCATCTATGAGTGTATTAGGGTCAGGAGATTTGTTGATAAATTCAAATTTGTATTCCCACAAGCAGCAAATGGGAAAATTTGGTGATGAGTCAGCTTATGGAGCTCCTCAGAAGGATCCATATTCATCTCAGTCTGCTCACTTGCAATTGTTAGATCCATATGTTGTCCCAAGCATATTTAGTAAGATCTTGATCTTTGGGGTATCTCTGGGATGCATGTATATATACTCCTTATGTTGCCAATATTATGGTTATATTGGCAAAGGAGGATCTCTGTGACTTTGCTTGGGGGATTGCAAGAAAGTTTGACTGGAAGGTGCAAGTAAAGCAATTGAATTACCACTTCATCTTCAACAAAATTAGAGCCTTCAAACTGCATTTACACCCAGCTTAGATTCATATATTTCATTATATGAATGAAAAGTTGGAGAAGGGAACAGTATCTTTTAATGGGATCTGTCAGAGTTAAATTACTATATTATTATTCAATATTATATTATGTAGCATCTGTATAAACTACATTTGTTAATCATTTTTATGAAAAATAGTTTTTAATAATAATAGTCTATCAATTTGGTGATGATTTTAAGGCTTTGAAAGGAACAGATAACAGATCAAACCTAATCTGGAAAAATCCCATGTGTAAATTCAAATTCCTATCACTTGAAAATTAATAAATACATGCTCTATTTCCATTTCTAGTTGATTTTTTGGTCACCAAAACCTTGGATCTTGGAACATTATCCCTTTGATAATCATCAAACCCCTCAAACAAGTATACCAAATACCTCACACTGCTCAACTCCCCCTGAATCAATCATTATAGTCCAAATCAAACTAACCTTAAATTTGAAAGTGAAGATGACATATTCTTTTTACTCTTCTTTGGTTCTAACCTTTTTTAATCCAACAACTATTATAATCCTTTCCGCTAAAGTTTGGAGGCAAGAAATAGACAAAAATAACCTTGAAAAATGTTGGTTCCTATGCCTCTATGAGTTCTGGTTGGATATATGGTCGGAATGATTTAGATTACTAATTATTTTTAAATGCACATTAAATGTGATAATTTTAAAAATAGAAAATTAAAAGTGTGAATTTTTTTCTGAGTGGTTCAAAAATTGACTATTCCATTCCCCCTTCTACTGGCAAGACATGAGAACCAGAAATCTTTAGTTATTGATTACTACCCAATTTATCAATCTATTCATTCACTCAGTCTTTTTTTTTTTTTTCTTTTTAAATAATAAATGTAAGCAGTCCCACAAACTTGAGTTATTTAATGTGAACCCCCAAACAAGTAACCACAATAATTACCTTTCTATTTATAATGGCATGACACATCCTTTTCACCAAACACCCAATCGAGGGATGCCAATTTTTTAACAGAAAAGAGGGAATAAATATATAAATATATATATTATTAACATTTTTTTTTTTTGCTTATTTTTCTAAAAATGAGAAACTATACAACAGCATATCTTGTTTGGAGTAATAGTATGTAAACAATTATTGTAAATTTCTGTTATTAAGTCAGTGACAAATTTACTAGTGTCATTATGTACGCTAATTTAATTTTAATTTTTTAAATATTTATTAATTATTCGTAAAGTAGTTGATTTTATCACGAATTATCAAATAGTCATATAAAACATGTTTAAATTTACACGCAAAACTTTATATACTTATCTTTTAAAAAAAGTGAAGTTATTGCATAATCACAAAAAGCTTAGGTGAGTTTCTAGTTTCTTTCTCCACCCTTCTTTCTTTGCCATTTTGTTTAACATTCTCTTTTTGTGAGATGGAAAAAAATGTCATTTCTTGCCAATTTCTTCTGATTTATGTTTTTAATATAATGGGTGGTGTCACCATCAAAGTCATAGTTCCTACCTAAGTTTCCATTTAATAATTCCACTTCTTATCATCTTGCTTTTAATAATTCTTATAAATAAGAATAATTCTTTTACTGTTAAAAAGTTGTTTTTTTTTTTCTTTTTTAAAGACGGTTTGTCCAGTTTTTAAATAGTTGAGAAACTAAGTAGAGAATAAAAACAATGACATTACACGACTCCTTTCGAATTGATTAATTTATAAAACGACAAAAATACTTTTTGAAAAGAGTTTAGAATTAAATTCAGATTGAAAAAGAATCCTTACCTTTTTATTAGAAGGTAATTACAATATCATCATATCTTAGAAAACAAGATTCATTATTCCTATGCCATAAAAAAAAAATTAAAAAATGTTAAAAATCACCTAGCATCTAATCCCCATGAGAGAGGTAGAATCCAAATGAGTTGTACACATCCTTTCTCCCCATCCTCTTCTCCTTGTCCACATCCTCCACAAACCCCAAATCCTACTTTTGAGATTTGGAATTCCACTACAATTTAGGTTCCCATGCCTTGTTGATGAATCCACTCAAAAGCCTATGTTACCAATAAGTAAACCTAACCATTTTGCTTTCTTTCTATTTGTCATTATTCATTATTTATTTTTACGAAAAATTTATTAACAGAAAAGATTGAATTCCAACCCCGAGAGCTTCCGTCTACACCTCCTGACCTTGAAGTCTTAGTGAATGAAGTAAATCTCGGGATACGCTCTGACAGTGTACAAGTTCCCCAAAGTACTTGTACACACTGTCCATAGCATGACTAGTTCCACAACATTTTGAACCCTGCATCTTGTGTTTGCCAACGAAGTAAAGTTATTAACTTCTTTGAATTCAGCCCAGATAAGATACTAAACACAACGGAGTAAAGTTATTTAACTTCTTTAGATTCAGCTCAGGTGAGATACTAAAGATGTTGGTTGCTGGTTGCCGATGAAGCAAAATTATTAACTTCTTTGGATTAATCATGTGATGTTATTTACTTATTTTACCCTCTTAATTATTTCCTTTTTTCAACCACATGACATGGAATTGTATGGCATTATTGTTCCCTTGCCAATTTTGCATAAAGAAGGGATCAAGATTCTTGATCTGAAATTTGGCCTGTCATATAATGGTGCTGTAAGCATAAAGCATGATAAGGGTATTGAAGGATATGATGTAGAATAAAATAAAAGCATCCATACATTACATCAAGATAAAGAGATGAATGCCATTTGCTTACAAGTTACATCAATACTGTCTAATTATTCCCATCCATCCATCTTCTTTACTACAACACACTTTCTTGCACTACAAAATAAGTACTCCAAGCCATCCACATGGTGTTTATCTTTCATTTCATTTCATTTTATATATATTATTTTCCCTGTCTGTAACTAAAGTGACAGTAGCAAGCAGATGAGTTCCATGCTGCCAACTATTTCCAGCCAAACTGAGGGAGAATCCAAGAAGTTAACATTTTATAAACTTTCAAATAACTTCATGTCAATGTCCATATGAAAAATGAAATATCATTCTAATCATACCTACAATTAAAAATATTGGAGAAAAATGGCCCTAGTAGACTGGGTGGGTCATGATTCATAGATATAACCCAGTAATCTTCTTCTACTATCTGCTGCTGCTTCAATTAATAAAATTAAATAGCTAAAGAAATAATAAATATCTTCCCATTTTTCGGGCCTCCTTTCTTCGTTAGCTGCTTCTTGGATTAAGTTACCTAGCTAGATAGGTCCCAAACTGCTTCAGGAAAAACTCTAATGAAAAGGAGGGAAGTTCGAGGGGGTTTACTGAGCCATCAACTGATCAAGATGCATCTGCTCCAGCCATGCATTCAATGTAGATTGATCGATTTGATCTATCTGGGAATTTGATGATGATCCCTCAGCTGAAGTTGCACCAAATCCTGCAATGTGTGGACTTGATTTATCTTTCATTTCTTGTGGAGATTCTTTGACAAGAGACTGAACCCATGAGAGATCAGGCTCCTCTCCATTGTTTGCTAGCTCAAATGATGATGATCTCCTAAGCTTACCGAATTCCTCGGACTTTACTGCCCAGTCAGGCTTTCCTTCAGAAGGCCCCCATTTTGACCAAGAATCTGAAGAAAAATCAACAGGACCGGAGGCATTGGAGCCAAGGTCACGTGAACTGAGGCTCCTAAATTGCTGTTGCTTCTCACGTTGAGCAAGTAGTGAGACACGGGAACTCAGTGGTGAGATAGGGTCCATAATTCGAGGAGACATTCTCCCTGAAGATTGAACTCCAAAAGATGCCTGCAAAAGCGAGTTATCTGTGTTTTTTGGCGAAAAGTTTGTGTTGATCGGAGATAACATGCTCTGCTGCTGCTGTTGGAACTGGTTGAGAACTGCTGATTTATGGGTAGGAGAAAAACAAGCCTGAGCCAATGCTTGATCAGAATATCCAGAAGATGAACTCTCAGCGGAGAAAAGATCATCAAGATTGGAAGGTGCTAAGGTTTTTGAACGAGCTGATCGGCTCAAAGAATGGGATAGGCACGAGAGTTCATTTAGGAGCTGCTTTTGTTGCACATCAAAATCTGGCAAGTTACTCGGTTGTTCACAAGGGATGTCTCTTGCATGCAATGAGGATCGCAAGCGACTGGACTGGAAATTGCTCCCGGGAAGATGCAACGTAGGGACATTTTGTTGGGGCCATCCCATGTTTGAAAGGCCATTGTTCGAAGGAGACATGGGTGGAGTGAATGGCGATGGAGACATGACGGAGACGGAGGAAGGAGAGCCCGGGATGAGCCCCATGGCTGCAGCGAAATCCATAGCATTGGCAGCTGAGGTATTTGAGCCCCGGGGCGAGGGAACAGCAGATCCAGTCGAGACGTACAAGGGCCTAAGTTCGTCTTGTGTGTGGGCAAAGAAACAAACTCTTCGGTTACACTTTATACCGTCTTTGCAAAGTCGAGTCCTATATTGAGCAGGGTGCAGCCAACATTCGAAAACGCCATGAGCGTATTCACACATGTCCCCCCTCCGGCAAGCTCCCTTGCGAAAGTCGGGGCATGGCACACAGCTGTAGTGGTATTTTCTCGGGTCCCTTCGTCGAGCATTTTCGCCCGGATGCACGAATGGACATTCGGTCCAATCATGGGAATATGCACGGGAGCAAGGTCGGATCTTGAACGAGAACATCCTGAACTCGTCTGTCGAATAGATGCTGTTCTTGATGTCGGGCAACGAAGGGTCAATTGGGTATTCTTTCTTCTCCGAAGCATTGAACTTCTCACTCTTGGGCGACGAAGTTGAGTCCGAAGCAGATGATGGAGATTGGTTCCCAGAAGAAGGCGACAGAGGTGGAGAATTCGAGCTCGAATTGGTCGTTACCACGCTTAGCTTCTGCTCCACAATAGAATCAGACCCGAGCAAGCTCTCAAGGCCCAATTTCGTCGCCAGAAATTTCGGAGAGACAGCAAGAACATCACGAGGACGATACCCATTAGCATCTGCCAATTTCGGGTCAGCACCCGCCTCCAAAAGCAGTTTCATAGCATCCAAAGCATCCCGAGACCCACCAGACGCAGCACAGTGAAGAGCAGTGGTCTTATCTCGACCACAGGACCGGTTCACATCGATTTCGGGTAAAGAAAGGATCAGTTTTAGAACATCAATGCTGCCATAAGTTGCAGCAACCATCAAAGGCGTTCTATGCTCAAGAACCATTTGCTTCGAGCCCTTTTGCCGCCCATACCACTGTCCAACTTCATCAATACTAGACGGATCACTGCCAATCCATCTCTTAACGCCTTCTATGTCATTGTTGGCAGCAAGTTCAAGCAAACTCGAAAAAGTATCCTCAGTTTCGACTGTCAAATGATTTATGTTCATGATTGTGGCTAAACTATTATCAACGGTGATTCATATAACCTGGTTTCCAACAACTCTAATCGATAGCACATACTTTCATCTCACGATCCAACTGAAAATAAAAACCTAGCATTAGTATCAAAACCCAGCCAATAATATTATACCCACGAAACCAAATCAACCCATAGCTTTAGAATGGTAATTCGCATTGCTATAAATGCACACAACACACCATTTATTCGATAACTCAGATTCTTGATACACATACAGACCCTTGATCAAATAACACAGAAATTTAAGAAGCTACTGCATCTTCAGTATGATTCTAATTGTAATAAAGGAGAGAAACCCAATAGCAATAACTTTAGATTGAGGAAAATGCCTTTTTTTGGTTGCTAAGAAGCTGAGAGAAGATAATATGATATGCTTATCCAATCTGAAGCCCTTTCCCTTTCCCTTGTGTTCTTACTCCCAAGAAAACAGATGAAGGCAACAGTGATGCAGAGGAAGAATAGTTAGGAAAAAGGTTGGAATCCAGATAGCATATGGCTGGAGAAACCTTATCACCATCCAAAACAAAATTTTAATTTTCAAGAATCAAAAACAAAAGATTCCATTGTGAAATTAAACATTCCCTTTGACTTCTTCATTTATCTCGGAAACCAGGCAGACTGCCCCAAAGACATGAAATCTACTAAAACCCCCACACCCAGAAAAAAAACAAATAAATTGGAAAAAAACAATAATCAAAGATAATCTAGTTATATATCTATAGATAAACCCAATAAAAAAAAAAACACGGCAAAAAGTCAAAAAACATCAGAAAAGCATACAATATTATGGATTAATCTAGAAAGAAACAGAGAATCTTTGTCCAAAAATCATAAAAATGTAAACTTTGATAGTTTTGCATATTTACCTATTCATGTATAGACATGTTATACACTAATAACATAGTACGGAATACATGTATATGCACACACTCAAAGCAAAATACTAACAGTAAAGCAAACACACACAAACGAACCCAAGATTGAGAAGCAGAAGCAGTAAAGCCTGCAAGTGACCATGCTTTGTATATACAAAAAACACACACAGATATACTCAAGAACACCATACTGGAATTGGAGTGGTACCATTTGTTTGTCTCCCCAGATTATATTCCCAGCTAGTGAGAAGAAAAAGAAGAGCCCTCCAGTGGCTGCAACTCCTCCATTTCTTGTTCCTTTGCTCCTGTGGCTGTACCTATAGACAGAAGGGGCGGAAGTTTTGCAGATCTAGAGAGAGAAAGAAGAGGAGAGGAACGAGAAAGTTGTGATAACCCAAGAAGATGGAGGAGGGGGAGGAGGAAGAGGAGGAGCTGCTGCTGCTGCTTTTTTCTTCGCCATTTCCTATGCTCTCTCTTTCTCTCTCCCTTCTTTTCTTTTTAACTGATGAATACCACCATTATTTTTAACAATTATTACATTAATAATTTTAGTGCCACTACAGACTAATTCTCTTTCTCTCTCTCTCTCGTGTTGGAGTAATCGCCTATATAATAGACACCATTTATATATTGCTTTCCGAGAATATTACTACTACTTAATTTTAGGAATTTTATTATAAGGTATAAATATATGGTATCAAACACAACCTTTTGTTAGTACGAAGTTGTAGTTTTAATTGGTCACGTTCCTTTTGGTACTCCGCTCATATATATATATATATATATATATATATATATATATATATATATATATATATATATATATATATATATATAGGTTCTGGTGCGGTTAGAATGCCTAGGTGCAGTTGTGCGGTTTAATCTGAACTATTCATTTCACTTAAATCAACGTTCAGAATTGTCAAAATTAAAAAAAAAAAAACACGCGTTGGCAATTTTGTAATTTTTGCATGTAGGTCAAAATTAAGGTGAGCGGATATGTGATTAATATGCGTGGGGTTTGTGCTTAATGTGCGTGAGGTTGTGCTTAATGTATGTGGAGTTTGTACTTAATGTGCGTGAGGTTGTGCTTAATGTCAATAGTTGTTGAAACTTAAAATCTGTGAGTTAATATATTAAAGTGCGTGGGGTTTGTGCTTAATGTGCGTGAGGTTGTGCTTAATGTGTGTGGGGTTTGTACTTAATGTGCGTGAAGTTGTGCATAATGTCAATAGTTGTTGAAACTTAAAATATGTGAGTTAATATTTAAAGTGCGTGGGATTTGTGCTTAATGTGCGTGAGGCTGTGCTTAATGTGTGTGGGGTTTGTACTTAATGTGCGTGAGGTTGTGCAGATGCTATCATTTGTGTAGACGCTGTGTAGAAGCTATCTTCTTCCCGACACGCGTTTTTTTTTTATTGATTTGAGCCGTTGATCTAAATTTGATCAACAGCTCAGATCTAACCGCACAACCGCACGGGAAGTTATACCCGCACCTGAACCCTTCCATATATATATATATATATATATATATATATATATATATATATATATATATATATATATATATATATATATATATATATATATATATATATAATTCAGTTCTCGTGCGATTGGGTGTCCCGTGCAGTTGTGTATTTAAATCTGAGCCATTGGTATTTCTTAAATCAATATCCAGGATTACCAAAATTATATATATATAAAAAAAAAAACGCGGTGACAATTTAGTAATTTTTGCATCTAGGTCAAATTTAAGATGCATGGTTTTCCTTCTTAAGGTGAGTGGTTTTTGTGCTTAAAGTGCATGGTTTTTGTGCTTAAAGTGTGTGGGTTGTATGCTTAAGGTGAGTAATTGTTGAATCTTAAGGTGCGTGGTTTTTGTGTTTAAGATGAGTAGTTGTTGAAACTGAAAGTGCGTCAACCTGAAGCTTAAGGTGCGTGGTTTTCCTTCTTAAGGTGCATGATTTGCATGCTTAAGGTGCATGAGTTGTTGAAACTTATGCGCCATTTTAAAGCCTTAGGTGCGTGGTTTGTGTTCTTAAGGTGCGTGGTTTTTGTGCTTAAGGTTTGTGGTTTTTGTGCTTAATGTGTGTGAATTGTGTGCTTAAGGTGAGTAGTTGTTGAAACTTAAGATGCGTGGTTTGTGTATTTAAGGTGCGCCATTTTAATGGTTAAGGTGCGTCAACCGCACAGGAAGCTATATACCGCACTTGAACACTTCCATATATATATATATATATATATATATATATATATATATATATATATATATATATATGACTAGGATCACGAAGGCAACTTGAAAGCAAAAATTCTGCACTCGTAGGCAAACATGCACTAGAAGGGAAAAAAAAGGTTCACTGGAATATTAAGTATTTTTTAAAAAAATTTCTTACACAATAGTAAGACACACATACACTCGGATACAAAGACAATCTGACGTACTTAAAATTACAATAATGCCATTGCAGGGTTTTTAATTGATCCTCAATTTGGACTGTTAATTTTGGACTATATCTATGGTTGAGATTTATGCCTATTTTTGTGGCAAATTATGCCCTGGACCCGTGTCCATATTGAATTGTGGACACGGGCCCAAAACGACGTCGTTTTTTTTTTTAAAAAAAACGCGTCATTTAGTTATAAAAAAAAAAAAAAATCGCGCGCGTTTTGCCGTTAACGGCGTTATTTTTTTTTTTTTTTGGATTATGAATGTACAGTTATGCCGTTATGAATGTACAGTTATGCCGTTATGAATATACAGTTATGCAATTATGAAATTATGAACACAGAGCTCTAACATTATGAACTTACAATTATGAACATATATAGTGATAAAATTATGACCATGGAGCTTTAAAATTGTGAATATAGAGCTTCGAAGATTATGAATGTACAGTTATGAAGTTATGAATGTACAGTTATAGAGTTATGAATCTACAGTTATGGAGTTATGAATCTACAGTTATGAGATTATGAATCTACAGTATGGAATTATGAATGTACAGTTATTGATCGAATTATGAACAAAGAGCTCTAACATTATGAACTTACAATTATGAACATATAGTGATAAAATTATGAACATAGAGCTCTAAAATTGTGAACATAGAGCTTCGAAAATTATGAATGTACAATTATGGAGTTATGAATGTACAGTTATGGAGTTATGAATGTACAGTTATAGAGTTATGAACGTACAGTTATGGAGTTATGAATGTATAGTTATTAATATATAGTAATAAAATTATGAACATATACTCTTACAATGAAGCGGTCTGAGATTTAAAAAAAAAAAAAAAAAAAAAAGAGAGAGATAACAGTGCCTAACGGCACTGTTACCCGTGTCCAGCAAGCATGCTGGACACGGGTCCAACGCATAACGATTGTATTTTTGTACCTAAAGACTTCCATTGCATATGATCCAAATTTTATATATATATATATATATATATATATATATATATATATATATATATATATATATATACTTAGGATCCCATGAGAACATACCCATAAGAGAAAACTAATAACAAATCTCAATTTTACATCTGTAAAAATTCGATAGATATGATCAGATTTTTTTTTTTTTTAAATGTAGTAACATTTTTGTAATTATCATCAATTTCACCATGCAAATTTTAATATTTAAATATGTAATCTTTAATAACTAAATGTGCAAACTTGGTAAATTTTATAAAATCAATGAAAAAATTAAGTTTTAAATCTAAATCGTAAATGCTAGACTCGTAGTAAAAAGTGAACTACTAAACCAAATAAAAACAAAAACTCAGTCATAAACTCTAAAATCGAAACCATAAGTGCAATGCATTTTCACATTTCTGCAAGTGCAATCTTTTAATACTAAATATGCAAAATGTTAATACTAAATGTGCAAACCTGAAAAAGTCTAAAAATTGTAGATTTTTGTGTTCAAGTTTGTATTGTAAAGTTGATGATAATTACGAAAATGCCACTGTTTTTTTTTTTTTTTAATCTAACCTGGTGTGTTCAATTTTATATATAAGTAATTACATGAGAATGTTATTGGATTGTCTGCATAGGCTTAACTCAATGGTTTAGTAAATGATGTTTGAAAGAAAAAATCAAAGTTTGTACATTAATAACAGTAATATGGGGATTATGTATAAAGTGGATAGATGGAAGAATGTTATTGGATTATTAACTTGCATAAAGTGGATAGATGGAAGAATGTTATTGGATTATTAACTTAAACTTGAGGTAGTATCATACTTTTTTTTACGTTAATTTAAAGTAGAGCTAATAAAAGTTTGAGTTATGATTAATTTAGACTTAGACTATCTTGAGCTTATTTATGAGCTTATAGTTTATTTTAAGCTACTAATGAGCTATAAGTTCTATTTCGTAATGTTTCTAAAATAAGCTCAAAGCTTCCTAATTTTTTTCATCTTTATCCTTATAATTTTAAAGAAATAACATAATTTACGTACCTCTTCCAATTAAAATTCTTTTCTCTTCTCCTTTATCCGCAACTTTCGTCGCAATTATTATTATTATTATTATTATTATTATTATTATTATTATTATTATTATTATTATTATTATTATTATGAGATTTACAACAATATTGCTACTTCATTATAAGATGCTAGATTATGATTATGCTAATAGTTTTATTTCAAAATGTTAATTTTTTTTTTAAAGACAAAATGTTAAATTTTAATATGTAAACAAACTAATTTAAATTTTATGAAGATGTCCTTTTTAGTCTTTTTGCATTTATCATCTTATCAAAAAACTAATTTTACCAAACACTTTCAATCATAACAGCTAGCTTAACAGCTCTTCAGTTTTCAGCTCCGAGCTTATAGCTTTTCAGCTTTCAGTTCCTTTTCAGCTTTCAGCTCCTAGCTTATAGCTTTTCAGCTATGTTTGCCAAACAGAGCCTTAATTTCACTTTTGGTCATGAGTATTGGGGTCTTGTTAATTTAAATTCACGACTTTTACTCTGCAAAAAAAAAATTCACGACTTTTAAAATTGTTAATTTAATTTCTTAAATATTCAATTTTTATCAATTTTGATCGTTTCAGCCAAATTGTCGGCCAAAGCTTATCAGAAAATATTAATAGGTAAAATAAAGAGGGTATTTTAGTCTTTTTACTTCTATTTTATTTCTTATTTAAAATACCATCATTATTTTAGCTATTAATATTTCCAGTGAGTTTTAACCGATAATTTGATCAAAGTGATAAAAATAGACAAAAATTAAATAGTTAAGGTACTAAATTGTTAGTTTTGAAAGTCGTAAGTCATGGCTCATTAATTTAACCGAACTAACATTAAAACCTATAAGAGCGGGGTTCTCAATATTTATTGATTTATTTAGAAAAGAGTTAATTTCATGAATGGTTAAAGTCATAAGTCATGGCTCATTAATTTAACTGAACTAACATTAAAACCTATAAGAGTGGGGTTTTCAATATTTATTATATTGATTTATTTAGAAAAGAGTGAATTTCATTAGTGGTTCATTGAGTATTGTCACGAGCTTCCACTAAAACTTGATCTCATGACCCCTTATATGAGAGAGTCACTATATGACATTTGAGTT